TGTTTAACTTGAATTATTAAAGGTCATTATTCATATGTAATTTCTGTCTTTTTTTAAAATAAATAAACTAAATGTAGCAAATAAACCTGCAATGTGCAGACAGTTTTTCAGCTCCATTTACCCAATTTTCATATTTATTGACGTTCTTTAAACGAACAAATGTTTTGTTAAATGTTGGAAGAATGAGAAGCAACACTTACGGAGGAAAAAAAAAAAAAAAACAAAGAGCAGACCACAGAATCAAAGTAGTTGTCGGAACTCGACGTAATAGAACGTTGTTGATATAACGATGGGGTAGATGAAATGAATCTCTTCAGTGAAAGGAATAAACTGTTACTACTGTGACATCGACACCTAACTCGATCTCTTCTCCAGTTACAAAGAAAGCCTTTGTCAATCGTTGAAACTGGAGATAATTGACACTGTAATAAAGCACTTATCGGTTTGTTTACTTTCAAAATGAGTGTAATTCACACCCTTTTATAAAGGTAATAAACATTTACTATTGTGACCTTGACTTCCACCTCCACTTCTCTTTAATTACAAAGGAAGCCAATGCCAGGCAATGAAACCTGAGATAATTTAAAAGGAAGTGAAACTAGATATGTTTATGATTTGCTTTTTTGGATCAAATTACAGTAATATAAACACAATAAACATTAGAAAGGAGAAAAATTACACGAATAAACGGTACAATCGTATTTTCTGATGTCAGTAATGTCAGAATTTTTTTAAAAATAATAATAACCAATTATTTTAATCGAACTGTGATTACGTTTTTTTTTTAGCTTACAGCTGTACAAAATTCCTCCTAAACATTCCTATCATCATCAATAAATCATACAACGGCGCAATCCATTTTAAACCAATGAAAGCACAGGTAGAAATGATTGACATTACAAATGACGTCACATACGTAAAGTTACGTCACTTACTTTGAGGAAAAACATTTTGCACTCATCGCTGGTCGAAGTGGTTTGATTGCAAATAAAGTTCGTGTCACACGTGGTTTCTTTCACAAGGTGAGATGAGCCGATGAACGATGTAAAATCTTTTTACGTCATTCATCTGCTCATACTGTACGTGTACTGTAGTGCACCAATGCCCCAAGGGCATGAAGGTTGAGAAAAGCGAAATCCTAGTCGGGTGTAATGTACAGTGTATTGTACACCCGTGTACCTAACACCAATCTGCTTTATTTCTTTAGCTTCTGTTATCCTATCCTAAAATCCTCCAGTTATAGGAGAAAACAGAATGATTTTAGGCTAAAACTTTTTCCGGCGAAAACTTCAGGTGCGATGGATAATCACGCCTCAAGTTTCGCGATATCACGTACAGTACCATCAGATCGCAGAACAGTTTTACTCTAGATTTAACCTAAATATAAGACTACCGTAAACATTACCCTGAGAGGTTGAAATTACCCTAGAAACGGCAGAAATAGATATGATACATGATCCTTTTATGTCGACCTTTACTTAAAAACCAAAATTTATAAGGTTTAATGCCCCTTTTAAACAAGCTACCGTGCCAAATTTCGTTTCTTAAACTTTACTTATTCTGAGATGTTGTTTAATATCTTAGAACAGAATATAAAAAAAAAAAAAAATTAAAAATTATGACATCAACACACACGAATTTGGCTTCTTTATTTGACATTTTTTGGGTTCAGGAGGTCTCCAAATGTGTAGATTTGCAAAATACTAGAGTGTCAGATTTGACACGATTCCAATATTATCCCTTTTTAGATACATAAGTTTAAAAAGTAAAAAGGAGTTGACGTCGGTAAATTTTTGGAAAACTGCGACTCCGACCTCGACTAAAACACCAAAACTCCGAGATTTCGACTTCAGCCCTGATTTTGGATCATGAAATAAAGCGAAATCAATACACCACGTTACACTTTTTTGCAACTTTTCCTAAGATTAGCACGTTTTTTCTTCCTTTTTCGTTTATTTTGATGCTTCAACGCTCTTTCTCTTTATATTTCTAGTGTTTTTAAATGATTGATCAGAAAAAAGCAAATAAAATTAAATCACTGTACTGTTGTTTTGTAGTTCAGATGGAGAGCTATAAAATAATATATTTATCATCTTCGTATACTCAATAGTTCCGAAAATAACGTAGCGATGTAAACTCTGCGATAGAAAATACAAGCATTGACAAAACGGTGAAGTACTACTGGCTAGTTTTCTGTTAGGTCTAGTTCTAGTATATACAGAGCTAATGTAAGAATCTCCTGTTAGAACCCAGCAAGTGCTATCTAGTTAGCAAGTTACCATTACCTTTAGCGCATAAACACACACACAATACAAGTTATTTCTCTCTCTCACTCTCACTCTCACGCGCACACACATATCCATACGCATGAGCTGCCCTTACACACACATTGAGACATATGACAGCTTGAAATAGATGGAATAAAAGATATTTTATCTGCACTAATAGTAATTTGAAAATTTTATGGCATTTTATGGGTTTTCTTAACATTTAAATCACGTAAACAGGTGCCCGTTTTGTTAGACTTCGTTGTTTAGCAATTCCTCAACGATCAGTGCTCGCCCGTGTTTTTTCAAAACGTTCGATCTATGAAACACTTATTTGTTTGTCGAGTTATGATTGAGTTAAAAAAGCTCGAATTATGTTCAATATTATCCGGTTTCTACATCTTTTTAATCAGTAAAAAGCTTGATGATTGAGAACACGTGTTTAAATGACCTCTAGTATGTGTCTATAATGTTTATGAAACCCACTATGCAAAAGTATAAATTTTTTTTTGTTTCATGCAATTTTACGAATAATTGCAAAGTAATTTTTCGATTTTGAATTGCTAAATAAATGTAATTTGAAATAATATAAAATTAGTATGTGTCGAAACACTAGAATTTTCGTTTAATGATGTAGAATCTGTTCAAACCTTAATTTTTTTTTTATTACAGTAGGGGAAAATAGGGTAATGGGTCCCACTTGTTTTTCGGCTAAACGGTTTAGAATTATCAATCCCAACAGATGCTTTAATCTAGCAGCTGCAGAGTGAACTTCGAATTCTAAATATGATGGCCGCTCTGTGCACATGCTTGATTGTGTGAGGAAAAACCGTTTTTGTGCATCTTTCTTTTAATTAGAACACTATCATTAGTTTGACTGTATTTACCCTTGTATTTAACTTATTGTTTCAATAATATAGGCTATATCAATGCTAACTATTTCCTCAACTATTAAAATACACACGAAAAAAAGATTTCACTTTATAAAAGACAATTCATTTGAAAACTTTTTCTACACATGATCTAAAAGGTAAACCAGTACAAAGGCTTATTCTTTCTAAATGTTAAACATTTACAGAATAAAAAAAAATTTAATCCGGCAAATTGAAATGACAGACAAAACACGCTAATCACGGTTTTAATACTCTTGCCTATCAATAGATGGTTTACGTGTCTAACACTAGCCTCAAATATCGCATGCAGATTTCACACGCGTATCCAGTTAAAATACTATCTAATAAGCAGTATTTGGTGCGATGTAGTCAATCTCGTCTCTACAGTAGATGAAATTTATGAAATTCTGTATATTTTTATAGTAGGGGTATGTGACAATGTTCAAACAAGTATCAAGTGCCAACGAAGTAATACTATATTTATGTGCTTTATTTTAACATTATTTTATTAATATTTTGATTTGATTTGATTTTAATATTTTTTATTTATTATCGCACATCGATATTTCAGTTACTACATAACACAGAGTGGTTATAATTAAAGTTGCGCTACTCAGACCTGTCTGGAGCCAGTTTTCGCGGATGTATTTTGATGAAACTTGGTATATATGTTATATAGACCATGGGGAAAATGAAAATGCAAAAAAATGTTTAGTTCGAATTTTTACCACTAGGTGGAAACACGCAAAAGGTTTTTATTCACAACATTTGTTCAATGTGCAATCCATTTGCATCAATTACGTGATCAAACCGCCTTACAATGTTGTAAATTTTTGAAAGGGTCATTGTTTTTACCGTTTGCCATACTCTCCCTCTAACTGAGCTCTTTTTCAAATATGATTTAATTATAATAAATTCATATCAATTTGCACAAATAATCAAAGAAAATATTGCAAATTTTATGATTAATTTTATTTGTTTTTCTTCCTTTGTTACTTTCGAACGGTCATATAAGTTGCCTACATCATATTTATAATTGGTTTTCTGTCTTATTTTCTCGTTATATTATACCTCCCGAAAGGAAATTAAACAGAATTTCATTTGACAAATTACTCTTAATTTAAAAAGAAATTAACTTTAGAGCGTTATTTCACTTATATTATTTTTAATGTATTTATTTATTTCTTTTCAAAGACAATATAAAATTCTATAAACTATTAAACTTATAAAGATGAAAATGACAATTACTGTCGACCCCCCTATAACGCTGTTGATTTTTCCGTTTTATATGAATTTCATGTTGTACGAGTCACGTAGATTTTACAAATACGTGAGCAGGGCTGTGAACGGCTCACGTATTTGTAAAATCTAAGTGACTCGTACAACATGAAATTCATATAAAACGGAAAAATCAACAGTGTTATAGGGGGTCGACTGTATAATTGTATTATTTATCAAAATTATTTTACAGTATACTCTCATTAATTCGAACTCAGAAACAGTTCAAGTAAAAAAGACATCATTCATTGATGATACAGAAAAGAAGTACATTTTTAATTAAGGATAATTAATTAATAAATTGATACAATAATTAATCGATCAGTAATACAAAACAAAGACTATGTATTACCAAGAGAAGACGTGACAGGCAAGCGCTAAACCTTTTTAATCGTTCGCCAACTGATTCGAAATGTTTTTAAGTTTTAATTTAGTAATTTATCTTTACATTTACTTTCAATTTTAAATTTTGAGTCAATACTTCCGTGTAATGGAGTCTTATCAAAAATATAAAACCAACGGAAATTGGTGATTAGGTCAGTTAAAATTGAAGCGGAAAGTGTTGAAGTTTCGACAGGAAACCAAGTTGGTAAGTATTCGTTTTCTATAAAACAATTTTATGAATTCGATCAAAATAAATATTTTTTGAGTCCTTACAGCATGTTTTTTTAATGATAAATAATTACGTTTGTTAAATTTTAAACGTATAAAAGCAATATCATTGTAACTAGATGGATAAGCCCTGTGTTTGTTAACGTTGAAAAGTATTGAGTTTACTTTAAAATTCAGATTGTTTATATTAAAATTGATTTGTTTTATCGAAGGAAATATATTAGAGAACTTTCTTCTGTTTGTTTCCTTAGCTTTAGTGACAGTAACAGCGTAACAGCGTTATTTGTTTCTGACTTTCTTTCCTTAATAATACAGTCAAACGTTAACGTTGTTTTAAATTAGTCGAATTATGTTTTGTAATTTCATAATAATTTATATCAGTACGACTCGGGTGCGAATTCAAATAATCCATCCACTCTTGCCGAAACTTCTCGACAAAGGCGAACACCGGCGAATAATATAATTTATTAAATAAGGTATAATGTTTTGTACGTAATTAAATAAATTATAAAGACAGTATTTATGAAATTAGATTGTTACGAAAATTGAGGGAGGCGCAGGAAATTTTTTGAAAAAGAGAAGGGAGTGGTCGAAACTTCGTATATACTTTCAGACGAATTAATTGTGATGAGTGGTCCCGAGACAGTCTCAATGTCTTTAAAAGTTATATCTTTGTTCCCTGATTTACACACTATAAAAATGAAGCCGTATTCGATGCTTTAAAATAAAACATAATTTAAGGCTTTAGTAGAAATCACTGGGCTTCCATGTGACCAGGAGGTTTATCTAAAATTAATAAAATAAAAAAATACAGGCCGGGCTAGCCACGTAGTGTTTTCCTGGTTATCTCCACGTCTGTAACGCCTGAATAGGGGCCATTTACCCTCCTCCTTAAACAGATCGCATATAAGTGTTGCGTTACCGTCACTTACTAAATAAACAAACACTTAGGTACTGTTTTTTTAAATGCAGAATAAACTGTAGAAATAGCATTAGAGGATTTTGTCATATTCATCTCTAAAATGAACGATTAGTGATGTCATTGTTTGCATAAATAAGACTTTCAGTTGTAAAAAAATGAGCAATATCTGTAGATTTTTCCACGTAGAAATTTATATGGCTTTAACTCTTATCGCGAGCAATTTACATGTAATTTTATTGTTATACTTTTTTTATTTATTTAATTTTTACAGAAATGTATTTGATAATAGAATTTTTGCGTAAAATAATAATATTTGATCCTTATCAGGTTAATAGCACCATGGAGAATAATAAAGAAAAAGACTATCAATTTCAAATAAAAATACTCTATCTTCTGATCCTGCTGCTCTTCTTGGTTGTCCTTATACAATCGTTCGTCATCATTTATTCACCTCGAAATAGTAATATTCGAATGGCTTCACCCGATATAGAAGAGCGTTATACCAAATCCGAGAAAACTAAAGGCAATGATGTAAATATCAATAGTGACATTGCTCGTCATCGACTTAAAATAAGAGACATTTCTTCTAAAACTGAATGCGGAGAGAAAGACGAAGATGCAGTAATGCTGAACGGAATATGCAGTATAAAAGTAAGTCTATAGTAAATTGTATTCTAAATCATTACAATTCTAATGTCACTTCAAAATAAAATGAAATAAGAAATTACTGAAAATATAAGTAATTACAACACGAGAAAAGAGTAGTTATTTGTTTATTTACTTAAATTTTTCTTTACCATTTCTCTCTAATATTGTAGAAATCTGAACTCTGCGAGTATTGTCTTACTGCGGAAGACATTTGTAAAAGAAACACAACAGAAACGGAAGGTACAATATACACATATTATCATATATTAGATGTACAGTACAATTAATTAAATATATAAAGAATTAGAGATAGAATGATTATGTTAATTACACTGAATGTTTAAAGAATGAAAAAAACATTCTTGCCTATGTCTATGATAAAGAAAATTACAGTAGAGCCTCCATTATCCGACTCAATTGGGGACTGGGGTTGGTCGGATAACCGAAAAGTATGAAAAAATCCATTATTACTGTAGTATATTATTATATCCCATGTAATTAGTATATTAGTATATCGCTATTAACCCACGGTTACGCGCGTTCAGTTACTCTCGCACTGTTAGGCGCGCGGGGTTCTATATAACCCCTGTTTCAAAATTCAATTTNATGAGTGTTGCCAGCTAAAACACGTAAAAATAATATTAAAGTAGCCAAGACATAGCCAAATATTGTAGCGCCACATCACTAGCGGACATTTGAAAATTGCCGACTAGGACGGTCAGTTAACCGAGGTGTCGGTTAATCGGGGGTCGGATAATCGAGGCTCTACTGTATAAAAATATTTTGATAATTAAAACTTCTTGCTTTGTTCAAAAGAAATACAGATTTGAAGACAGAAAAACTGAAAGTACAAACGCAATTTTGTTTCTCTGATTTTTCTGTTTTCTTTGTTTTCCTTGTTAATTAACCTCCTCCACCCGGTACGTTTAGAGTAGGCCTATATTAACAAGTAGAGATAAAAAAGTGTACTAAATAACCAACCATTCCTATTAAAATTTTCGTGCAACTTTTAAATTAAATTTAGAGTTTCAATTTACATATGTTTACATGGAGGTATTTCAATACATTTTGTTATAGTTTATAATTTTATTTTCATAATTTTAAATTCAATAATTCAATAAAATTTCGATAATTTTATATTCATCGATTAATTTTTTAAAGACTCGATATTAAGGGAATAGCAAAGTTTTGATTCATTATGGAATATTGTTTTTTGTTGACAGGAGTACAAAAGGAAGGAAAAAATGATTCTGAAGAAAAGAAGAAACAAGAAAGTAGACGTAAGAAAAGTTATTATTTTATGATACATTTCTTTTTTTCTTTCCGGTTGTTTATTTGATAAATTTTTAATTTCGTGAACATTTAATAAGATTTAGTCGAGTACAGTAAGAATATGGTTTGGTAATTAAGTATGGTTGGTATCAGAGGGATGTCATGTTTTCATTGTTTGGGATTAAAGAAGTAATGAAAAGGTAATTTTACTTTACTGGTTAATATGTATGATCGTGTCAAATTCGATGTTTTTTGCAAATCTCCACGTTTTCAGACTCATGACACCCAAAATATCAGAAACAAAAAATAATTTCAGGCGTGTGTTTAAGGTGTGTTTCAAATTTATACGGACACGAAAAAATTAAAGTGAAACACAAATTTGCTGCATTAAGTGACAAATGTTTTGTTAAAAATAACATGGATTTACATGTTTCCACATTGCAAAATAAGAATTTTAATCAAACATTAACATTTTGTCACTGAAAATAATGTTTATGAAACTCTTATACAAAAAAACTGTTACATATTTATCCGGACAGGTTTCAAATTGCAAAGTTTTCTTACAATTTAATGGCCAATGTAACCACCATTTAACTTAATTACATTAAATACTCGATTAGGCATTGTTTCAATTAGATTCTGAAGGAATTCAATCTTAAGTTTATCCCAAGCATCTGAAATTGCTGCCTTCAAATCATGAATTGTGGAAAACTGCTTTCCATTGGCATAAACT